ACACACACACACACACACACACACACACACACACACACACACACACAACAGTTTAAACAGCACTGCTGTTTAAACTATTTTAAAAGCTTTTATTTCAAAATGTTAGGCTCCTTATTAAGTCTTCATTTAAAGACACAATAAATAAATATAATTAGTATTTGCAACATTCAATAGTCCTTTAGCTTTTGAATACCATTGTTTAATTGTATGTTTAATTTGCCACGATAAATTATTTATGATGCAAAAATATTAGGCCTATTGGTTATAATTAACCTATTATTATCAGTATGGCACAATCCAGACTCTGAAGAATGAGTGTATTAAATAATTTGTACGAAATAATATTTTTGACAAAACAAAGAATATAATTTAGTTAAGTTATACGAGGGAAATTGTAATTTGAGAAAATATTGATTGAAATCATTATCATTGTTATCATCCTGTGATGTGATATAATAGTCATGCTTATCACTTGCTGTAACGTGATGTGATACCAAGGAGGATTAAAAGAAGTGACTCCATATGGTGCACACATGCGCAGTGAACTCTTTCCCCAGTCTTCATTCAATAGCCTGAGTGATACCCGGAAATAAAGGCGGAGCTCTACAGTTTTTCTCCTCCTTGCGCCAGACAGACCAGACAAACGGACAACATGGATCCGAACACGACGATTCTGCGAGTCAAGAGAAAAAGGGGGACCGACCCCGCAGATGCGTTGTTGCTGGCGTGTAAACGTATCCGGCCGGAGACGGCCCAGAGCTCAGGTGAAGCGGTACCGGAGCCAAATGAAGCCGAGGTGGAGAACTCTGTCTTCAAACTCGTGGCGACCGTAGCGACACAGGTAAGAGGCCCGCTGGTACCGACGCGGTATTAGAGCTAACCGAGCGCTACAGGCTAGCATCTACGCAGTGGGGAAGCCAAATACATATTAATCAGTGTGTCGGTACAAACGTACCGATTTAGTACATTTTTCTGGCTGTTATATAACTGAATTTAACCACTTAAACGGTGGTGGTTGTTTGGAAAACAAGGCACCGTCTGTGCTAGTTGTTGTTAGCATGATACTCATTATATAGCATTAAATAGCATTAGCTACTGCGATCGTTAGCTCATTTTGTTGACGTTGACTTGTTTGCAGGCCTCAAATTATATTAATTCATCCACAATCGTCACCATGGGAATGTTACTAACTGTTCTAGCACACTGTCAAACATTTAAGACTAATTCATCATGCGAGCTAATTAACGTTAGCCTAGCAGGTAAACATGTTCTAGTGTGTACTATATTACAAGGTCTAAACCTTTTCGGTATAAAGGTCTACTGTTTTCTTCTCGCATTTTTAATTACACGGTCCCATGCTAACCGGTTACTGTGTGTCTGCTCACTGTGACGTTATTACCAACCGTATGTTTGTAGTGACGCAGTGAGGTTAGGTGTCAGGATGGAAATGCAGGATGTAAACACCTTGTCATTTCCATCCTAAGAGCGATATAAATACCCCCCTATCTGTCATCTCGTCACCAGGATGCTCCAGTTCGGACGCAGGTGCGACAGGCGTTGGCTCGGCCTCGCGTGGCCCACGCACTGCGCCCCTCCGCCTCCAGCTCTCAACGGATCACGGGGGACCTGCGCAGCACCAAGTGGAGCACGCGAAGGGAGGAACGTTACAGAATACTGTCCAGCCACCGTTCAGGCCTGTCGAGTCCGGTCGAGCAGCCGACCCCCCAGACAGACGCTTCTGAGAGCGCAGGGGAGACTGGGGGAGACCAAGACAAATGTTTGGTTCTTGGTGCAATCCAGGTGGTGGATCTCCTTCATGAGGACGCAGAGGACAAGGACAAGTCGTCCAGCAAGGTGAGTTGAGCGTTACTGTAGCTGGTTTATGAGTATTGTTTGGTTTGTTTTAGTCTGTCATGGTGTCAATTATCATACTCCTTATTAGAATAATATTTTATAGAGTATTTTGTATCGCTAGCCTCAATTTTAGGAGGACAAAAAGTGCCTGATTCGCTTTAATTCATAAACTTGTGTATGTATTTATCTATCTATCTATCTATCTATCTATCTATCTATCTATCTATCTATCTATCTATCTATCTATCTATCTATCTATCTATCTATCTCATTCATTCATTCAATTCACTGTTGTAATCCTGTTATGATGTTCATTCTGTACACCTGACATCTATCACACTTCTGTCCATCCTGATAGAGGGATGCTGCTCTCCCTAAGGTCTCTTCCTTTCTCCCCTCCCAGTTAAATGTTTTTTTTGGGGAGTTTTTCCTGTTCTGATGTAAGGCTCCTGGGACAGAGGATTTTGTATGTGTACATATTGTAAAACCCTCTGAGGCAAATTTGGGATTTTGGGCTATACGAAATCCATTTAATTGAATTACAACAACTTTTAACATGGCAGATAGAATGAAACATCTGTTTCTGTTTGGCAGAGTACCAAAAACGTACCTTTTTGGTACTCTGCCAAACTGAAACAGACATGGCAAGTATATTTTCCATAGCCGTACGGAACTTGTTGGGCTGATATCAAATTTCTATGATAAAACTAAAAGCATGAAAGCGCTTTGCTTACTCAGCCACGCGTCTTTAAATGTGGCAGATTTGTGCAGCCCGGTCCTCCTCGTGTACCAGTAGCACCCGCTAAGCAGTAAATCCCTTCGACATTTATGCTCATTCTGTTCTGAATTTCCTCTTTTTCTTTCACAGCAATGAAAAGGAACAGTTGAGTAGTTATGATAATGTTATTCTAACCAATACAATTCCCATCCTGACAGAGGAGAAGTGATTGTAACATCGTTCTTTTGACTCAAAGGCTTTCTACAGGATCAACAGGAAACATTGAATAATGTAATGATTCTGTTAGGATACAAAGACTGTGCTTGTGACATACAGTACACAAATCTTACAGGTTCCTTTTAGAGGTTATAATTCCAGGCATTGGTCAGCATTGCTAATGTATAAACCCTCAGTATTGATTTAATCTATCGCTCTATGTTTTTGTGAAGACGCTGTCCTCAGACCCGGAAATGATCCTGTGTAACAGCACCAAGATGCTGCGGGAGCGCCTGAGCATAACCGGAGAGGGGCTGGGGGGGGAGCACCGGGAGCAGGGCGACGACTACGTCTACGACCTTTACTACCAGGAGACGGTCACGCCGGGCTGGATCCAGGACATCCTGTCCGTCAGGGCCTACGCCGACGAGGGAGAACTGGTGTGTGTGGATGGATGGAACGGACAGATGAATGAGTGCTGGAATCGGAGTGAGTGAATGAAGACATGGGCGAAGTAAAGATTAGACTTGTGGAAAGCTAAAAAACTAGTTAAATGGATAAGTCAGTGCATGTCCGCTCACATGCAGCAGCTCTCTGCAATATTAAAATGCACAACATTTTGTTTGCATTTTAATATTTTGGCCAAAAAGATTCCAAACGAGGAACTTTTAAAAAATGTATCGTATATTGAAGTGGTAATACAAAGTGATAGTCCAAAAGTGTTTATGGCTTAAATCATTAAGCTGGTTTACATTTTTATATCATTTTATTATTGAAGACAATAACACCAATAATGAACTAACTAAAAGGAGGCTTTTAGATAAATGGCTTGTTGTTTGTCCCAGGTGCCTGACCTTGTGGTTCATGAAGAGGTTTATGAAGACGAGGATGACGAAAACGAGGAAGGCAACTGGAGGAATGACTACCCTGATGAGGACAGTGATGCAGACGGTGACGGAGAGGAGCGCTACGGTGGTATGCATTTATTCATTCATTTCTTTGGCAATGTATCGGTTGTTGACGTTATGTGTAGGTTTGCACATGCGCTCGTTTTTAACCCAGTACACATGTAGCTCCGTCTACAGATGAATTTCTATTTAGAGGGAATTATCTGTTTGTCACAGTCTGTTTATTTTGACTGCTGAGACAAATGAAGGTTTTAATCAAATTTGTATAAATTGGCTTTTACTACTAATTCCACATCCCTTTAACTTGAAGAGGTAAAGCAGACATTTAGAAGGATATACCTTTTGATAAATCACAATTTAGTTTTATTAATGTGTGAAGAGTTAACAGGTTCTCCTTCATTTCATTTCCTCAGTTTAACAAACTGTTGCTATGAGCAGGTTACAATAACCAGAACAAAGCAGGCTCCCTCATGTGGCTCAGCGGCTTACTGCAGATATAAATGTGCAATACAATAAATGTATTTAGGGACTTAAATGAACTCTAATGCGACCCAGTCTTTGGTTCTGACTGCTCCAGTGTATTAACTCGTGATGTTGATGCTCCTGTCTGACCGTCAATGATGTTTGTCCAGTCTTTGTAGGTTCTAGCTGGTCTTCTGGTTTGTCCCACGCTTAACTTGTCATGGCGTCTCCGGTCCGTCTTTACTTGATCTCATGGTGTTTTCCATTGAGATGAAAATATATTGACACAGTTCCACTACAATTCAGAAACATGCATTGTCTCCTTTCCCCCAAAATGTGATCCAAGCGGAGCCTGAACTGGAGTGCTCCCTGAACAACCTTGTGGGAAAGCTCTAGATGCATCTCAGAAGACACGACAGGACTAGAAACCTCCATCATTTATTAATAAGTGACTGCACATTACTGATGTGCATGTCATTTTAGTACCGCCACCGTGTTGGCCGCTGATCTCGGCCCCTCCTGTCATTCATTGGCTGTTCCCATGTTGTGCAGGTTACTGGGAGGAGGAGCACTCGTACAGCCGGAGGAGCTGGGGCTGCTACCAGAGGGAAGTGCTGCATGACCTGAGCCGCTGTGGTGAAGACGACAAGGAGGACGACGACGACGGAGACAAATATAATTCAGATTGATCCGTCCGTTTCACCCCCACCTGTCTTCCCAATGCCCTCCCCACAGATAACGGCATGCTTCCTAGACCTCTGTGTGGGCGACCGTGGAGGGAGAACAACTGCTCGAGTTGCACACAAAATGAATCTCACCTTAAAGCGCAGCAACTCATCAGATTTAAGGAATGTTGCGAGTTTAATTGACTGACTGTACTTAAAGGAATATTTCCCCACAAAATAACCATTTGTATATCAACTACTCTCACTGCGTTACCTTTAATTCTTGAGGAAGAACTCGCCATGAAAGTTTCTTCAAGAATTCGATGGTCATTTTGTGGGCGACGCGTTCCTTTAAGTCAACTCAAAACTACATAAATGAAGGCTAGGTTTTCCTTTGTCAGAGTAACAAAGCTTGTCAACCACCAATGGTCCAGCTAGCTGCATCCATCCATCCCGAGCTCTCCCACACAGCTGGTGAAGGAGTAGCTGTTATTTCCACAAAGATCCAGAGTGTCTTTTTCTTTTTCTTTTTTTTTTTTTTTTTTTCTTTTTTTTTTTTTTTAAATTGTGGTGGAGTGAATTTGTGTGTGGGTGTTTGTTCAATGTGGACGTGTGTTTAAAAAATGTTGCACATTAGCGTGATATGTCTTGTATGCTTTGTGCTGTTAACACTTCCGTCAGTGAGACGTCTCGGGCCGCGTGTGGTTGCAATTTAGGCTGCATTTTGTGCATGGCTGTGTGTGCGTGTGTGTGCGTGTGCGTGTGCGCGTGTGTGTTAGATTTTTGGCACAATGTGAAAGCGTGACGCATTGTTTTTGTTGTGGGTGTGCGAGTTTGGTTCCCTCCCCTCTTTGAAGTTCTTGGATGCTTGGTGAGTTTAACTTTTTGTAAATATGTAGATGTGTATAAAAAGAAAGCTTTCAAAATAAACTTTAAATATGTCTGTGTGAGTTTGTCCTGCATGATGGAACACAAAGTGTTAAGATCTAATAATGGAGGTAGAGCATACAATCATTGATCTAGATCCCCAACTAAAGGGGAGGGGCCACATGTTTTAGTTAAGTTTTGTCAGCACGCTCATAGCAGTTATTGCTACATGGTGGGACGGTGACCAGTGGTGGAATGTAACCAAGTACTGTACTATAACATTTTGAGCTTATTACTTTTCAGTGTTTGTATACTGCTGAGTATTTAACCCTTTAATGTCTAGTCATTAAAATAGTTAAACTTTCACCATCTGTACCATGAACCCACACCCCTTTGTCATTATAGGGGATATAAAACGGACCACATGGAACACATTTCTGAAAATATTTTTTAAATAATACCACTAATGCCAAAGACCTGAAATGTTACATATGTCACAATGGGCGTTGACGTACAAATGTATTCATTTGAGAACCAATCAACTTGGCCTACTTTTTGATTAGTAACAAATATTTGCTTTTATTTGCATTTCCACAAGACATATTTCTGGTTAAGTTGAAAACATTTTTCACTTTTGTTTTACAAGACAAAAATGTCTTCTTGGATGATCTTCAGTGCATCCTGAACACTACCATTAAAAAAAATAGAATCGTTGAATCTAGTTTGTTTTATTTACTGATATGTACATTTTTCTTTCATAATTTCACAATTCTTTCATAATTAATTTGTCTAATAATTTAATCAATTTGACATTTTGTTTATATTTGTTTAAATGTCTTGAATTCAACAGAACATATTTTAATTAAAAATAATTGAATCAGCTAAATAAATTGAGCAGCTCATAACTGTTTTCTTATTGTGACAAATATGTCCCATTGTTTTTTCTGAGACAATTATAAGTTTAGAAGCCCGATGTGACATATCTGTCACAATATTTTCTTAGCTTTTTAGATATAAATTTGTGGAATATGGTTAGAACCGTTTAGATGTAATGTAGGACATGTTATCAAAGCATTAGAATTGTTAAATGTGTTAGTTCTGCCAAATGTGCTGACCAGCCAGGCAGCCATTTTGGAAGTGATGTCATTGGTACACAAATTAACTCACTGTCACATGACCTCACCAGAATGTTCATTTTTTGCATTGTGATTACATTCCTGTATTTGACATGTATTGCTGTATCTCAACTCTTCTTATTCTTCCGTCTGCAGTTCATCTGTTCACATGATTTCCATCATCACAGCAAGAGCGGTTCCTAAACACACCACTCTTCTGTCCAAAAAGGATTGCCATCAGTGAAGTTTCCATGGTCGTAGAAGGAATGGCCATGGTCAAGCCCTACACCCCCGCCCGACCACCTCGATCTGCTGCCTCGGGGCGATTTGTTGCCCCATCGCTCAGAGGTCCCTAAGGCCGTTCGACCCGGTCACGGCTGTTTTCTGTCCTGGCCCCACAGTGGTGGAATAAACTCCCCACTGATGTCAGGACAGCAGAGTCGCTGCCCATCTTTTGGCGCAGGTTGAAAACTCACCTCTTCAAGAAGTGCTACCCTGAGCCTTCCACTTAGCACTTATTGTATTCATACTAGTTTGTTGCACTTGTTTTCGGTTGTTTCTGCACTGTACTTTTGCTCTGGTTTATGCTCTTAGATGCTTGTTTAAAGGAGATGTACTTATGACTTCTGGTGACTAGTAGTTCTCTTGAATACCTATGTTGAATACACTTTTTGTAAGTTGCTTTGGATAAAAGCGTCTGCTAAATGACTGTAATGTAATGTAATGTAATGTCATGGACTGAATCCATCCTCACAAGCAAATTCCCTCTCTGCAGCTTCCTGGTGCTGTGCTCTGTGAAACGGGTTGCTGCCAAAGTGTGACACTCGTGTCAATGAGCCCCCCTCTTCCTCATACCAGTCTGCAGTCACTGATGCATCCGGCAAAAGGTCTGTGGGCAGCTTTTTAGGGCATCCCTCTCTGGCCAAGTAACTAGGGATTCCCTTCCCTATAATAAGAATGTAATCTTTAACAATGGTTTTCTCTTTAAAATAAAATAGTTCTAATTCTGTGGGCCCTCTGTGGATTCGAGAAGCTGACCTAAGATCTGGCTTCGAGGTGGAACTAAAATGAACACCATCAGTGTTCTTCATGCATCAACTGTTTCTCACTCAATCACCACCAAATCCCCGCGTCTTTACAGAGAAAACTGTTACATTGACCCAATATAGCAAATGGTTACTGTAAATGTGACAGCAATATTCCTACGTCCTGCTACATCGACATCTAAAACGAAAATTCATATTGTATGAAACTGTTCTCTTCCAGTCACAGAGTGGGTTGAAAGCCCACCCCAGAAGGGTTTCACTTTTCCTTCCAAATTACTCTCCAACCCGCGACCTCATAGAGGAAATGATACAATAAGACAATAGTAGTAGACTTTGTGACTTTTTAGGTAATTGTGAAATGAGTAGTAGTTACTGAATGTTACTGTTGGGTAAGGGTTTTAAATCTTAGTTTGTTTTAATGTTGTTGTTTTTGGATGGTTCTTTTTAACAACTTTATTATGGAATATATGGTATTATGTTATGGGTATTCATTTGCTATGTTTTGGTAATCATTGTTGGTTGATCAGTTTCTGTCAGATGTGTGTAAACAGGCAGTTCCATGATTTGTTAGCTGTTTGCCAAAAACACTGTTAAAAAAAATAAAAGCAGGCAACCCCCCCCCCCTTCCCCCCTCCACCCACTGTGTCTCTACCGGCCCGGGGGGGCGGGTTGAGAGTAGGAAGTGTGGAGTCAGCAGGCACTCAGTGGCAGAATAAAACAGGCAATAAAAGGTGTTTTGAGGAAGTGCCAGTCACCTCAACCATGTGAGGTCCTTGCGCATGCACCCAAAATATTATGCAGTTTGCTGCAGTGGAATTCAAGATTAGCTGTGGACAGACACAGACACTCACTCGCTCGCTCACTCACAGAAGCGCGTACGCACATATGTGAGCAATTCCCACCTGGCAGAGATAATAATACTTTTATTAATAAAATTGTTATTACTGTAACCATAAGTTTCATAACTGTCGCAACAATAAATAATTAGAAGGGGTTACTGTTCATGATGCATGTTTGCCTATGCAAACTTAATTTCAAGAAGTTACATGACATGATTAAGTTATTGTCATTTAATGCTTGTATATGACTGGAGGCCAGTAAGCACTTAATATAGGAGACCACTAACACACTGGTCGCTGTGAATATTAGTTATTGAAACTGGTTGTCATCACTTTCTGAGTGGACGGGTCTCTGACGGAGGAGTTGTTGTCAGACCAAGACTTGCAGGACAGCGCCAAGGACCACAGGAACATGAATACACCTAGGAAGAATGATTGGAAAAGCTGTGAATCCTTCCAACAAATAAAAAAAGCTGGATGGATACTTGTTAGGTGGGTCATGCACGTACTCACCCTGTAGGGAGTTTAGTATCGTGAACACGTAGATCCCAGAGAGGGAGATGTAGGTGGTGCTCGCTAACCCCCAAGGTAAACCCAGCACGCAGCTGAGGCCCAGCACTGTGGCACAGTCCTTCCATAACTTCATCCATTTTTCTCTGGTCATCTTCTCCGAGTCACCACCGCTTTCAGCACCTCCACGGCCCGCCCTCAGCCCCCAGAGCTTAAACACCACCAGCCCCAGCATGCAGGAATTGCACAGTATCACCAGGCATGGGAAGGCCACGGTAGTAACGAAGCTGACCGAAAGCCTGTGGCTGCTCATCCAGCATCTGCAGGTTATTACAAAACATTTTTATTTACATCAAAGTTAACTTTGAATTCCAAATACCCTCTGAGGAATAACGCTGTATGTATTTGACAAGAATCCAAACCTCCCGTGTGGTTGAATACTTAAAAATCGTAGCAATGGTTCTTGGTTTCTTACATCTCCGCTGTTGAATTGCGGTTGTCAGCATCCCTCAGTTCCAGACTGTATTTTCCATAAACACCTGAAATCCCACAAACCACTGCAATCAGTGTTGGGAGACCTGCATAAAGACAAGACGGATACGGAGGTTCCTTTAACAAGCCTAGACTATGGTTAAATATGCCTGCGTGCACACAGACAGAACAACAGAATATATACCAGCCCGTGACAGCGTGTTGCTACAATTGCTTTCACGTTGAGAGTCTGTGTGCGATCCTGAAAATGTGAGGTAGGTAGTGAGAAATGGTCTACTGCGCCCCCACTCTTAGCCCCTGGCCCAATTTTACTTCACAGCTGGGCAGATCCGAATCTCAAGATGGCCTGTCGTTTTTTTACTACATTCAAAGACCAAAAAAGTCCTCTTTTCCTCTTATTGCGTTGCTGCTTTTTACAGTGGCATCAACAGCTCTATCACCAGCAATCAGCAGAAATTAATAGGAAACCAAGCGTATCAATTTAAAATGTAAAAATATGTAACTTTACGGCTTGTTTCTGCTCCCCCTGAGTGGCCAAATGGTATATTACATTTCATGCAAGTAATGAAACTACTGACACACAATGCATGTGGGGCCTTTGGGGTCTGAAGCCCTGCTGCCTGCTTCGCCAAGTTGGCAATCCTGACTTCATCATGACACCGTGTGTGCATGCTACAACAGGAGATTCAACTGTAGACTGTATATAAGAAGTGGACGTGGTCATCTTGACGTCACTCATTGATTTGTGGACTGATGTTTTGAAGACTCAAGTTCGGCGACTTCACCGTCGGCATCTTGGCTTACGGCCGTTGCCATGTTGTATTATTTGCCACCAATAAACAAAAGTTACGATATTTGGAATGTGGAGGAGTGAAGTGGCAGAGACCTGTCAATCACAGTAAGCCCCGCCCTAAAGCATACTCTGCTTTGTGGTCTATTTGACTCGAAATGGACCATCATTTACTAAATGAACATCATGCTGTATTGAAGAAGACTTGAAACTAGAGATTGAGACCATAAACTCATGTTTACAATGTTTACTGAGGTAATAAATCAAGAATAAATCATAGAAAATCATTTTATCTCATTTTGCAACCGGATGAGTCGCCCCCTGCTGGTCAGTAGAGATATTGCACATTTTAAGACATTTCCGCATTGGCTTCACTCGGCAGAACCGGAGTTTGCCACCTGGATTCACAGGAACCTCATTGCTCTACTGCAGCCTTAGTGGTAAAAAAAACTCCAACGTGTAACTTCTTGAAATTGCTCTAAAATGTGAAAACATGAGTAAAGGACTTTGTACACTGACTAAACAATTTGTTTTAAGTATTTACATGGCTGTTAGCCACTAATATTCTCATTTAAAAAATAACTGGAGTTTTTATTGTCGTTGCACAATAAATCATAAATAGTCGTTTAAGCTGTTTACTCAGTTTTTTTTTGCACCGTCTCAACCAGGCTCCACTCACCCCATCCCACCAAGCTGAGTTTGAGCAGGTATCTCCTGATGTAGATGTTGAAGACTCGAACTAGGAGGAGGTAGAGGTGGAATCCCTCCAGAGCTGTCCAGGTGAAGGTGGCCAGCAGGGACCAGTGCAAAAGGAGACCCAGACCCCGGCAAACCCAGTCGTCCTCTTTCTCGTTCAGCTGCCACACCCAGAAGCAGCACAGCAGGAAGCTGAGGTGGAGGCAGAGCAGCGCTCCGGTTAGTTGCAAATGCACGCCGATAGCCTTCTCGGGACGCCGCCGTCTGAAAGGGAAAAGGTTTATTACAATCATTTTTTATTGCCTCTTCTGCAGATGCAGTCCTATATGTGGCCCACGTATCTCACCCAAACAGTTCAGATGTTAGCTTATAGCTACTGCTTGAATGTGGTGCAGGCCGACTGCTTACTGGGCCGCACTGACTTGAGACTTTGTCCTGATTCTGCTTTCTTTGACTTTTCTGACATACCTTATGATCATATAGGGGTATGCTCACGACAAGCTAGGCAGTGTGACATGTAAGGATTGCAGACGTCTTTGTCTTTCCAGGAGGCATTCAGAGTGTTGCAGTCGGTTCTATTACAGTTCTTTCCTGTTTGGAGCTTGAAAGGAAATTAGATCAACCACAGAGCCTGTTTGACCCATGATGTGGCATGACAAACATCTGCAGCATACACTATGCAACACTATCTCCAAGTCTCTTTAACTCTGGCTGTAAGAGCCATTTTGTATTCTTAACAGTTTTTTGTATTTTATGTTTATTGCTAAAGTAATGTGTGTTACGCCCTTTAAAATGTTTACCATATAATATAGTTAAGGTAAGTGGTCACGTATGTTTTTGCCCTATTGAGATAAAGGCTCCTCTATTCTGTCCTGCTGTTGGATCATTTTTAGTTGACTCCTTTAAGTAGGTTTCAGTGCTAGTTAGGCTTTGATGGAGCAGGATGTGGAGCAACAATTTTTCTGACTGCAGATTATAGACTTTTTAGTTATAGCCAGCATGAATGGCTATATGGTTTCTTATGCAATGAATGGTACTCCATTCATTGCATAAGGATTTTGTTAATTTTTTGTTTACATGGAATAAAACTACTTTTAACTACGAGCTACGAGCCTCATCATTGGACAGCTAGCAAGAAAAGTTTAGCCTGCAAGAGAGCGTAAGTTGGACATGGTAGTCAACGCGAGCCATTAACCCTTTACATCCTGCAAGAAGTGGGCAAGAAGGACGGTAAAATAAGCTGCCACTACACTGGAAAAGTGCAATACATGCAGTATGTTGAAATTATGGCTTACACCCATTTTGCATATCTTTGAGCAAGTTGCACATTGTACGCATGCACTTCAAAGGGCATACCTTTTTACTTTAACTCTTTTTTTAGTACATGTGTTTTTTGGTATTTGAGTGTCTGCACTATTCTTGTTCAGATCTATCTTGACCAAGCAAGACGTACCAGATGTATAAAGTGAAACAACATTGGTCAAAGTACATCAGTATGACAAAACATAGAAGAAATGAATAGTAACGCACACTAACAGTAACAGACACATATTGCTTCACTTTTGTGACAGAAATTCCTTACATCATTTGGTTGAACAAAACATTAAAGATATTTTATGGTATCTTAATATAATTCACTCTAGACCCGTGGGAATCATAATTTTAAGTCAAACTCACTGCAGACATATATAGATGATCAAGCTGATGACTGTGAAGAAGATGGAGAGTGCTGATCCAACGTAGGTGATATAGCTAAGGTTCACAGCATCACTTTCATCCACTGATAGCGCAGGGTTCTGGAAGGGAAAAGCATGGATTATAAATTCAATTTAAAATGTAGTTTAAGTTCAGAAGCTTAGAATCCTCTTCAGTAGATATATTGTAGATATTGATTTAGATGTGTCTTAAATAAAACTATATGCCTCTATGAAGTATGTTTCTATCCACCTGTTTTTGTATGCATTTTAAATCTGCGCGCTTTCAAAAAAAGGCAGCTATATCACACAAAAAATAAAGTTTGGCTGAAGTGACGGCTATTAATTTCTTTTGCCTTTTTTCTGGAAATTGTGTTAAAACTTGTGCTCCACTCTGATAGAAACCAGAATGACAATTTAGTTCCCAAAGGGACAAAAATGTACTTTCAAACAATGACAGCCGATAATCATTCAGCGACTGAGAGAAGATCAGTGTGGTTAATCTCTATAAATAGATTCTGTATTCTAATGTGGACTCTGTAGGCAACTGGACAAGATTTTGATATTGGAATCTATCTGGTTTTGGTTTGGAGTCCGAGTGGTATTGACCAATCACGTTTGAGCAGGCTCTGGTTGAATGCAGGTAAACGGTCCATTTGCAGAGCAAAAGATGGAGAACTCATTGGCCAAACTGTAAATCTCGGAATCCTGACGAAGACTAAGCTTTTTATTGGTTTAAAATGAGCTTGTCCGTTCATAAATGGTAAGTACTTGTATAGCGCTTTTCTAATCTTCCGACTTTAACAGGGGCCCATCAGGACTATCTAACATTCATACCATTCATGCACCGCAGGAACAGCCTGCGGAAGCAATTTCGGATTAAGTGTCTTGCCCAAGGACACATCAACATGGACTAGCAGAGCTGGGGATCGAACTGCCGATCCTCTGATTGAAGGACGACCCTGCACTACCACTTAGCTACAGTCGCCCCATGCCCCACGTTATCTCCCAACTCCAACTCCAGTCGTGCATCTTAAGTTGCTGATCGGACTGTAAACAATGAGCAGCGCACGGAAAAGGAAGTGTTGGCCTGAATATTCGCTGGCTTCACCGGACCATCAGAAATATCCCCCCTTGCTCCCCTTCTCGTCGCCAGAGCGATAGCCAATGGGTTCTGAGATTGTTGTGCGGTAACTCAGGCTAAATTGAAAGTTTGCTTACTGTACACAAGTTTGTGGCTCACATTGGAGCGTCTGAACTCACTGTTTAATCCATTCCATACATGCTTGTGTTTATGAAGACATCCTTTGAAGGAAAATTTATTTGCACGTTACCTTGCACTGCAGATGGATTCTCGAGATATCACAAGATCACGCGATAATCGCGGAATCACATATCACACAGAAACATGTGGGAAACAATAATGCGCTTGTGTTTTTCTCTGAAAGTCCCTGCCCCTTTTTCAAACAGTTCCAAATGACGTCTTTCAGGTCTGTCACGTTAAGTGGTTTGTGGCTGATGGTGGCAAATTATTATTTTACCACAAGCACAGCGAAGAAGCTCAGGTGGTTGCAGCTGCAAATAAATTCATTTCCTTTGTCGCTGGTATCACAGCCGCTTGTGTTCCAATAACCTAGAAACACACACGCGCACATATGATACAGTGTAAATCGTCTTTTCATTGAAGAGCAAAAAAGACTGTAGGCCGCCATGTGTAGCTTACCTGTTCCATCGTTACGCGGTGACTCCTGCCAAAACACACAAGCCCCAGTCTCCACCTGAAACTTTAAAAAAAATAACTGTATTCAAAAACAGAGGAAAGCAGAATGATACATTCTCCAACTGGGATGCCCTCACAGCTGCTTTTGTTCTTCTACCTGTTTGTTGTGTTTGAAGGTTAGTTTGATGGCTTGTGAGAGGTCCCTGACAGGATGGTTCCCCGCCCTCACTGCCAGGACTAACCCCCCCAGAACAGTCTTTGGACTGGGCCTGTCTAGTGTGATGCGTCTCCCGCGTCCTGTTTCCTGAAGGGGGGGACTCAGCTGCAATGACAGAGAGAGGTGACAGAGAAGACACATGGCCTTAACACTGTTGTGTGGTCAATCAGATTTGAATCAGCTTCTTCAATCGACCATTTTCATTGATGGCCGACTGTGAGTTCATGGAAATCGATGCAAATCAGCATAAAGGGGAAAATACTAGCTTGTATAATCTTACTGAAGGGTGCTAACTTAAAGGAATAGTCCACCCCAAAAACAATATGAATTGTATTGTAACACTCACTTCCCTCAGCTCTTCTTGGTCCAAGAAAAACGTTTCTGTCAAATGGCATTAAGGAGAGCGGAGCGCCCCGAAAAATGGAAGCAGATCAGTGCAAACAGACGGATCAGCGGAGTCCCAATGAGACAGCGAGACGGAAGAAAAAGGGAATAGAATATCCGCAAAACCTTTTTTAAAAATTCATGTGGAGCATTATCCAAACGTCTTGTATCCATTTGTGGACTAATGGGAATCTAAACACGACATTTTTTGCTGAACAAAGCATTTCCCATTAAGGAATCTGTCCAAATTCCTTCACAGGAAGGATAATCCCATGATGCTTTGTTTAGCAAGTCGTATGTTGAAGTCTATTTGCACTGATGTGCGGTTATTCTTCCTCTCTTCTTAACACCATTCGACTCTTCTTCCTGGTCCCAAGGAGAGCCTGGGGACGTGATTGCTGTACACAATTTATGCTTTTGTTGTTGTGTTTTTTGGGTGAACTATTTCTTTGAAGTAGAGGTCGCTGTACAAAAACAGGAACTGAATTCCTGAACTGCAACCGCTTTTCATTTCCCAAAGCTTACAAAAATGTCAAAAAAAGAGGTCTGCAGTGAAATATTTGACCTTCAGAGCTACTGACCTTGAAGAAAGTGCTGTTGATCACAGTGGCCACCAGCAGCACCTCCTCCTGAGACGCTCCTCTGCTTCTCTGGAGAGCTGACGATGAGATTTGAACCCTGTGTTGAAGAGTAGGAGTCTCATCCGCCTAAGAATTACAACACAAAACAAAATTTTTTTTTTTTCATTTATGGAAGAGACGACACAGTGGAGCCGGACGCCCTGAACCCCGATTAGCATGATCAACTGTTGAAATGTTTCTTCGGTTTTGCTCATTCGTTGGCGCATTTCACGCACAACTTCCGATTGTTTGAGAGCCAAGTGATACAACATCTGGGAGCCCAAAAATATGACCTCACCTCTTGCGTCCAGCTCACCCTCCGATGAATGAAGTTTGGCAATGAACGGCCTTTTACCACACAGCTTGCAATTCTGTCCTCATAGCAGCTGTAACGCATATTTCACACATTTCAGCAATCTAGACATACATAAACATGAATAACTATTGATTTTAGGTTGAGAAACAAAACAAATACATTGTCTTTTGTCCTTTGACATTATTCCTATGATTACAACACACAGCCATTTCCTAACACTGTGGTGTAAACAGAGATATACACAGTGATGTGCTTTTGGTTCCTAAAAAGCTGACAACCTGGTGACTCCAACAGCATTATGATATGTTATGATCATTTCTTATTATGTTTTAGGGAATGTCAGAGCATTCATTAGACAACAGGGAACAGCCACATGTGTTCTTTAGTGTCAGCTGAAGAGTGTGGCTTACCTGGTCCAGGAAACATTTTTCGACATACACTGGACGAGGACTTTTTCACAGGGTTCTGTCCGGGTGACAGAGAAGGAAAAGTGAAAGAGAAATTTTCGGGCATATTTTGATCACTACGTACTCAGGGAAGCCCAAAAAAAACTCAATAAACTCACCAAAAGCTTGGGTCGTAGACAGCCACACGAGTGTGAGGGGAAAGAGAGAAATCCACATTGCGTCTCGCCGTTCCTCACACACACACACAGATGATGTGACGGTTCCATGCACAGCCGGGTTCTACATGCTTGAGGTTTCTGCTTGATGACCAGGGAGTTTCACATCTACATATATCACATGGTTGTGGCGGAGCTGTGGGTGTACAGCTCACATGGACCAGAAGTGAGATATGACCCGACTTTTCATTGGAAATCTCACCGATGTTGCTCATGAGAGAGCAAAATGTCACATTAATTTATAGATACTGTGGTTTAGTGGTACTGAATTATCACTGAGAGAGAGAGAGAGAGAGAGAGAGAGAGAGAGAGAGAATAAAACCTCCACCATTTACAATGTGAATGATTGTTCATACTATGACTAAATCTCCAAGGTTAGAGGAAAGAGCTTAGAGAACAGAGGAAGTTTCCAAATGTTACAGTTTTCCTATGAACCTAAGCAAGAAGTAAAAAAAGTGTTAAGTCACAATTGTCAACAAGTACTGACACTTGTAGCTTGCTGGGGAACCGAAACGCAGACTGCAACCACATTATGTTCTTCCACAGCTGGCAGCAGACATATGCAACTCACAGGATCATTAAGAAGTTTTTTGAATAATTCCAAGATTTCGAGGACTGTAAACCACACACAAATAGCAACATGGGACCGTTGCTCTATTCTGATGTATTTCGACTTTATTCAGAAACACATGTACAATATTCTACAGTAAGGACACAGCTTTACTTAAATCACACTTAAAGCGACACACACTTTTGAAGTTACAGAAAACAATGTTTACATCAAAAGTCCAGGGAATTTTCAAGATAACACGTTAGGAGTGTTACATGTGGGAGTTTCCGTTGCTGTGCTATCAATGATTACATCAGGGCTTTATCACCTAGGCCCAAACGCAGTGTCCCCTAAGGCCTTAAACACTGAACCGTCAGGGAGGGCAACGTCACATGTTATGTACAATCGTGGGCTTGACAAACGGGTTTGTGTAAATGTAATTTGCCAGGCTCCATGCTTCCACTGGTAACCTTGTGTCTGACGTCACATTGCTATGAATTGTGGGTAACTCAATGTCTCAAAATGTCTGCGAGAGAGCCCATAAACAGTCGAGGATTTGACACTGGGACAGAACTAAACCCTTAATGGACTTTGCGGGAACGCGCATCGAAGTCTGTGAGTGAGGACATTGGGATTGGGCCGTGGACTAATAGCAGTCTACTCAAATTTGACTCCTGAAGTCTTCACAGGAGTGGAAGTCATTCTCTCATCCATGTCTCTCTTCCTCTGCTTCTTGGCTGCCAGACAGATCCCCAGGAAAATAAAGAAACCTTGACAAAGAGACGTATTAAAACCGTGAGTGGCGTTACAAGAGAATATATCTGACAAAGACGAACCCGTCAACACGTAGACAGGTTAAAGAACCTTTGAACAGAGAGGAACAGAACGGGCAGCAGACCTTGTGTGGAGTTGAGGATGCAGAAGAGGTAGAGGATGGGGTAGTTGACGTATCCTGAGCCCAGGAAGGCCAGGCCCCAGGTGGTCCCCAACAAGCAGGTGAGACCCATAACGGTGAGGCCACTCCTGCAGGTCTCACCGAACCTCAAGGGGTCCCCCTGATTCGCTCCCTCGGCCCCTGCTCTGGGCCTCGAGCTGCTCCTGAACACCCGTTTCATCTTGCAGACGTTGGAGGCCACTGCTATCAGTATGCCAATGTTGAAGAAGAATATGAGGGTGAAATACACCAGGTTCAGGGAGTAGAAGAAGGAGTCATCTGTGATCCAGCAGCTGTGGGACAGACGGGGAACCCGGTGGACTGTCAGAATATAGTTTCACCGATAATGCAGGGGGACATGCAGTAGAGTGCCTGAACATAATGATAAATAAATAAAATAAGGTGATCTTAAATGTTTAAAGCTACAATCCATCCATTTTTTTCATGAAATCAAACACAGTTTTTGATACTATATATGGGGGGTATTTGTTCAGCAGTAGCCATTCAGTGTATTAATAGTCTCTCATTACTTCTCTGTATAATAGTTTTCCTTGTTAGTGGCGGAGTCCGCCATTCGTTTAAGGTATTTAATTGTCTTCACTCACTCACACGTTACTGTTTTTATTACTGTAAACCACCTTGATTTTACCACCATAACAGGGGTGTGACCAAATTAGTAAAGATTATAATTTTAAGGCCTCTTTCATACACTTTTGATAGAAAGCTATAAATACACAATATATTTTGTATGTGATATACAGCACGTCAGGAGATGTTTATGTATATAAATCATATATGTGTATAACCATAAGCAAAATTGTGAAAAACCATGTGTGAAAATGGGAAAAACCCTGTAACACAAACACTGTATGAGCATACAAAGTATACAAATGATGGATTGTGATTGTTATTCATTTTCTAAAGGGTTTGGATTGTTTTCTCACAATTACAATGTTACAATTTATTATTTCCCTCAGCTTGCCAGCAGCAGGTAGTAAACACTTACATGGCGTTGGTTTGGTTAGTATCAGCCACCCTCATTTGTGTGACTCCATAAAACTGTTTAAAGTCTTTCACTCCCAAAGACACCGCCACGAAGACACCAGGGATTCCTGAGAATCACACAAACACACACCGCTCAACATCGCGGTAATTCATGCGCTGAGGTGGAAGATACGTTTAAAGACACAACCTGCTCCTGATGGACTTTTTCCACATCAAGTGCGCACAATATGACATCACGTCAAGACATTTCCAGTGAGGCGACAACAGAGTTTGATGGCAGGAAACTTTCTCCGAAAAACACGAAGGAAGCAGCTCAATAGACAAAATTCAAAGGCGCAGGTGGCAGAAAACGGGTTTTGGCTTCACTAGTCTGAGCAAAGTCACTTCAGCTGGGTGAGGCCGAGTGAGACCGATCACACACTTGTGTCACTGTGAAAAACCTTTCAGTGATTGCACGCTCAAAGTTCTGCTGGTCATATTTCTTGGCAATCGTGGACGTGCTTTCAGCAGCTTCATTAAAAATATCCAGCAGGTTTGGTGATGTTTGGACAAACCCAGGGCCAGGCACGGTTTTGGAACTAGTTTGAACTTTGTCATGCCACACATCTTTCGAGTTTTTTTTATTGATTTGACAAAGAATTTCTGATAAATAGTCTGATTTGTGTTGTGCTACACTCATTTTTGTTTCTGCATTTGAAGCGCCCTGTAGTGGTCAACCTTTCAGGGGTACGTTTCAGGTACTCTTGTGGACATGTCCTGGAAGTTTTGGTCTATGTGCTGAGCCACGTCCTTCTGAAGTTCATCGGTTAACATCTTGAAAACTAAATAAGATATTGACAAGCTCTTTGATACTTACCGATGAGTTACTGGTGTCATTAGTAAAACGGAATAGGCACTCTTGCAGCACTCACCCCATCCAGCGAGAGACAGTTTGGCCAGGTAGTGCTTGAAGTAGGTGTTGAACACCTTTATCAGCAGCAGATAGAGGTGAAGTGCCTCTATGGCCATCCAGGTGAAACAGCAGAGCAGGGAGTAATGCATGAGGGCCGCGACAAACACACACACCCAGTCCGGCTCCACCGTGGCCCCCCACTCGGTCAGCAGGAAGGTTGTATTGAGTAGGAACAAGGCCCCGCTCAGAGATATATGAATGGAGATGGAGAAATCCATTCTGCGGTTTCTGAGGAAGAGATAGGAGGAGAACGAGTACATGGTCGTCTCTTGGACATCAGCTGAGAGCTAGCTGCACAGAATACATGTATACCTACCGACTGAAGACATATATGACGAGGGACAAAGCGGTGAAGAACGCAGACACGCCGCAGCCTATGTAACTGATGGAGGACAGGATTTTTTTAAAAAGCATATATATACTATATATATAAATGTGTGTGTGTGTGTGTGTGTGTGTGTGTGCGCTAAATTGTCTTTATATACACACACCCTTTTGTTGTACGATGAATATGGGTTATAACATGTAATTTATGGCTGACAAACTTAAACACAAAAAATAAGACACTATAATACTTCAAGCTGTCTTAAAATGCAAGCTAAGGCATAACAACAATAATATTAATTGATATAGATATATAATTTATTCATATATGTATATATTGTTATTAATATTATTATTAATAACACAAATAATAATAATAATAATAACGCTTTGCTGTTTATCCTGCTGTAAACAAGAAACTACATATACAACCTACCATGTTCATCAAAATAGTTACACTGTAACCAGGAGTCTTTCTGTAAAAATACACAAAATACAGAGCTCTTGAAACACAAAAGCATGAAAACATGGCTTGCCACGTGCCATCATCAAAATAGAGTCAAATCAAGTCAAGTCAATCTTATGAAAACTTTTATCAAATTGTTTACATCTGTACAATCTGTGCAGCATACAGCACCGTCTATCCTTAGACCAATCGAACTATCGAAGCAGATCGATGCTAAAAACGTGAAAGCATGCATGCACAGACAGACTTACATCCATATCTTTGGGTGAAACATTTCGGAAAGTCATCTTGATTGGCGTCTCCAGATTACGAAAGGGTTGTTTGCCCAGTAGCTCTATCCTGAGAACCATTGATGAGATTTCTACCTGTCCAAACTAAAAGACAATTTCTATGACAGTGTACATATATATATATATACATATATATGTGTGTATGTGTACTGTGGAAAATGCAGGAATAAATAGGATGAGCGATATACTTGGAACTGGCTATTGTGCATGTAGCTGACCAAACCAACAACCCTGCTCTCCTGAGGGATGCTCTGCAGGTTATACACAGGCAGCCAAACGTCAGGGATGGATGACTGGTTCTGAGGCAACAGCTGACCGTGGAAAGAAGGAGATGAGGTTAAGAAGGGCAGTTTGTGGATCACTTTAAAAGTGGCAAAAAACAATCACCGATGTTAATCTTGGTCGACAATTAAATTCTAGCTGAGAACTGCCTAAACTCCTGCCATCCTGATGTAACAAAGTATTTAACATCATGTAATCGTTGTCATCGCAGTTCCTTTTCAAGTCATCGGCGCCAT